TCGCGGCGCTTTAAAAAGCGTGCGATGCCTAAAATAGCATTTTCGGGTTTTACAGAAAATATGATGATTACATGAACAATTTTTTAATTTCTTATGAGGGAATTATAATAAACACATAACTACTATTGAGCATAAATATGATGATAAAACCATAATGAGGGTGAGAGGATGTACTTGTTAAGTTAAATGTTATAGATGTATAACTTTATGAAAGCTTAGATGAAATGAAAACTATGGATGATCTAATATCTGATGTATTTAAAGTAATCAGTGGTAGAGCGTGGATAAGTTGAAGTTAACTTCTATGAACAATCCATTTTTGCAAGGTTTTCATTCCTTAGAATTTCTCTAAGTGATGTGGTAAGACATTCACACTTTTGTAGAGCTTCACTTGGTGTGAAAAGCATGCAAAGAAGAGCGAGCGGAAGGACTCAAGAACTAATCTCCCATTAACATAACATTAACATGATAAAATGTGAAAACATATGTAAGAGCCTAAACCAACGTAGGTTGGTTTTGTTACCTTTGTGATGAGAAGACGAAGAGGACGAAGAAGACGAAGGAGTCAAAGGAACTCATTGATTGTGCCGCGTGGAGTCAACGAAGATGAAGTTGTTATTCCAGATTGCTCCCATGTGGGAAGACGAAGCAGCACTGTCGATGCTCGTTCCAGACCAAAGCAGAAAATGAAGGGTTTGTCGTGGGAAACGGTTGACCCACTATGTCGATTTTGAGCTGCTAGGAAGATGAATGAGCTGCTCTGTCGTTTGAGGAGCATCGATTCCTTTACTTGGATGCATGTACGAACGAAGAATATGAACGGAATAAAATAGTTCATTCTTTCACTTGGAAGTTGAGGGAGATGAAGGGGACAATGAGGTCGTCGGTTCTTTCTCGTGAGGAAGACGAGGAGCTTGGGTCAACTTTGTCATTTGGTGTCCTAGGGCATTTTCACTATAAATTAGAGAGGAAGGGTGACATGGTGAGATGGGAGAGAAAGAGATAGCAGGGGGTAAGGAGTGTTCAAAAGCTAGGGATTGACCGACATCAGAAAGAAAGGTTACTTGAGAAAATTTTAGAGTTGATTATTATGAGTTTTTGTTATTTGAAAATTGAGATTTTGTTGAGAATAAAGAGTAAATTATTTAATCATATTATAGATGTATTAGGTTATGAATATTGCATTAAATTTTAGTCGAGAGAAGGCATACATATTAAAATTCAATAATATATGATATTTAATTAGAAAATTTATTTGATGTTAATTAATATATTATATTTCAAAGATAAAATTTAAATATTGAGCAAGTGAGTTTGCGAGCTATTTTGAAAATAAGAATGTATTTTTATATGTGTTAAATATAACGACATTGGAGTAAAGAGTAAAAGTGAAACCTCAAAACATCTAAATTCGAGGTTAATATCATATTCCTAAATTATGGTAATGGAAAAGTTTTTGCTAGATGCATTTATTAGTTTATTATTATTGCGAATTACTTATGTGTTATGTTTGTTTAATGCAATTGATCATATTAAGCTTTATGATATAAATTTATATGATTTGTACAAGTCTTATATTGATATTATGTGAAATGATATAGATTATGCAAATAAAGTTATTAAGTAGAAATGCTTGCGTGTGATGATTGAATGGAGCACATCTTCTTATGATACTGGTTAGGGATGCAACGTATTCATGATTGTGAAATGGAAAATGATTTGGAAAAGCTTATGGAAAAGGAAGTACTTTGATCAGTACTATTTAAACGGCATATCTTACAATGGTTGTAATAATTATAAGAAAGGCTATGACATGATATGATACATGCATATGATATGATTTATGGCCATTTTTAAATTTATAAGTTATTAAATAAAATTGTTTTATAGTTTACAACAAACATGCATAGTATTTCGAAGGTCTTGTATTATTGTAATTTAGTAATATAATGTTTTCACTGAGTTGTGTTATAACTAACTCCATATTTGTAAATGTATATTGATATTATTCAAATAATTTAAATGAGTGGCAAAGGAGAGAATGTTTATCGTAGGTGCAATGCTCCAAGAGAAAGATATTTATAGCATTTTACTTTAATATGCTTGAGGTTTAGTTGCTCTTTTAGTGTATAGGAAATAGTTAAAAAAAATGAAATTTTAAATAGCCCGACTGTTTGTTCCCTCGTTAGTTCGATTCTCTGAATCGGATTGTGACAAGATATGCCACTATTTATAGACTACTAAAAGGTAGCCCTAAAAGCTAAAAGAAGATAGGAGAGGGATATTACTGTTATGGGGAAGGTGAGGAGTAATGGAGGAATGGTTTTGAAATGTTAATGTTGGTTTCCAAAGGTTTCAACAAGGTTCCAAGGGGACCATTTAATTCTCAGTCATTATGAAGTATCTTGAATAATGCAAGGAGAGATGAGGGAGAGAGGTTGACCAAGCTATGTAGGATTTTGACATGACAAGTCAAAAGTATGGTGACAAGTCTAAATGTTAATGTGGAGGCTAAGGTGATGGCGGTCAATTGTTGATCAAAAGGGCTAAATGGGGGTAATTTGACTAGGCTAACGCATAAAATGGCTAGGCTATCTCCATGCTCATGCTTATACAACCAGCATCATGAAACATTAACATCACACAATTTCAACAACCCAAGTCCAAACAACATAAAGGCCCAAAATACTTCACCTGACTCAATTTCCCAAATTTCCCAATAACACAAGAGTCCTGAAAGAAAATAAATATACATTCTAACATGGCCTAGGATATAAGATTTAGGTTCTCTGAAATAATAAACTAACTCCAAAGTGCATCTTGCTTCAAAACAACCACTTTATCATCTATACAAATGGCCTATTTATCGACTAAGAAATTTATTCGGGTCCATTAAAATATTTTGTAGTTAGGTTATATTTGAGAGAACCTATTATCCTACATTCCTGTGAATGTTTATGATTATCTTAGTTAAGCAGGCTTTGGATATATGACAGTCTTCCAACTGCATTATGATTAGATTAAAATAACATTTCTTCTGATTATTAGTTTGTGATGCACTCTCTTATGCATTCCCTTTTGCTTGACGACATGAATCAAGCTTGGATCCCAAATAACGTACTTGAATTTAGAGACCTATCCATAATACTCTTGTTAGAAATTATTAACCAACCTCCTTTCAAGCTTTAGGTTGTCGCCCATGATGAACTTCTGTATTTCAGCAAAAATCTTATCTTAACTTAATTCTTTGACAAGTCTGTCCACAAAAGGATTCATTTATTGTTTTGTTCATGCTCTTTAAGCTAAGCTTATTGTTAATATTAGAATGCATAACAGTTCTACTAAAGCATCTTTTGTCTGTAGCAAGCTTTTTAGTTATTTTTTATTGGACTATTGATCGTAATTTCTTGTTTTTACTGCAAATTTATATGCTTATAAATACTCTTCCTTCTTTGAAGTTCGCATTTATGAATATTCATGTCCATCTGGAGGATGGAATAGTTGAGGTTATTGGAAAGAATAATTCTTCAAGCATTGTAATGGTTTGCTCTAATTTTTCAGTTAGAGCTGCAACTGTGGGAATTACAACTATTTATGTAAGTTTGTTTAATCTGGCTATTTTATTATTTTTACGCTCAATATTGAAAACACTGTAGTCAATTCTCAGAATGCATGACTAGTTTTCCATGAAATTTTCAGGTCCGGGCGAGGCAACGGTCTGGACATGAAAGATTAAGTCAAAGTGTTAAGGTTGAAGTTTACAAACCATTGCAATTGCATCCTGATTATATTTATCTCACGCCTGGTTCTTCTTATTTGGTAAGAACATTAGTTATTCTTTTGTTTTTTTAAACTGCTTTTTTATCTTAATTACACAACTACAACTATGTGTCGTTGATCCAGCTTTCTAAGTAGGCTTTTAGGTTGCGGCTGAAAATAAATCACTTTATTTACCCTTTTGGCATCAGAACTGGCAGTTGATTCTTTAATAAGTGACCTGATCGTTTTATGGTGCTATTCATTCAAGTCAAAATAATACCATATTTTGCACGAATTGCTAGATAAATTAGGATAGGCTGAGTTTGCTTATTCAAAATCACTTAGATAATGCATTTTTTTTATTTTAATTTTCATAGTGCTATTTTGTCCACTTAAATGCTTCCTCATATGTGTGCTCGGAACTAATTCATACTTTATTTATTCATCACATTGCGGTTTTTGTTTCCTTCGGTTAGCTCACAGCCAAAGGTGGTCCAATCACTGGAGGATTTATGGAGTATGCAAGCATGGATGAAGCGACTGCAGTAGTTCAGGCATCTTCTGGAAAACTTTCTGCTATATCCATTGGGAATGCTGTAAGTTGTCTTAGCTTCTTTTTATTTCTAGGCCTTGTCGTAGGAATTTGATCTGAAATAGCATGAGGATGGCAATTGTGGTTTGACGCTCTATGCTCAATGAACATCGTGCGTTTCTTATATGAATATTTTTCATGGGTACATGTTTTTTTTTATATTTTATTATTTATTTATTTATCACTTTCTCGTGTTTTGCCTCCGTTTTTCTCTAGCGTTTTACATATTATAGAATTTATCTTATGGCTTGCCGTAAATCTCACATTTATGAATTTTTTATTTTGTAGTTATCTTTCATATTTTTAATAGAATATGATGGAGAAAAATGATTCATGTAGCCGACCCCATCTAGTGGGATAAAGGCTTGATGTTGTTGTTGTAGTTGTCTTTCATGTTTTTAAAGGCTCAGTATTTATGTAGAATTTTTTGCTGTTTGCAATTTTAGACAGTCCGTGCTGCAGTTTATGGACAAACAGGCGAGCTAATCTGTGAAGCATATAGTAGAGTAGAAGTCGGGGTCCCATCAATAATGATTTTGAGTTCGCAGAGTGACCAGCTATGTATTGGTTGCAAAATGCCAATCTTTCCCTCGTTTCTTCAGGCATGTCTCTAAAATGCTTTCGTCTTTTGTTTATATGTTGTTTATCATTTTTAGTGTGGTAGAGGTTGCATTATATGGTGCAAATCTTTGTTACCGACAGGGAAGCTTATTTTCTTTCTATGAGGTATGCAATAACTATGAATGGACGGTGGACAATGAAAAGGTGAATCTTTGTGTGTGTCTTTGATTTTCCCTTTTTTATGAAGCTGTTGGCAAGTTTATGCAATTTTTATTCTTATATAGACTGTGCACCGTGAAGATGGCGGATCCTTGACATCAGTTGTCGAGAAAGTGCAATTGCAGTGTGCGGATGGATGGTCCACTTTCTGTAATTTCAGTGATAGTGATGTTGGATTTATCAAGGAATTGTTTGGACGGTATTTACTCTTTTTGTGCTTTTACAAGTCTTCTGGATGCTATTAAATGCTACTTACTGTCAACTTGCTTTATTTAATTTTATTATCTCATTTGTAGCTGAATCCTAGAACACTTTCTTGTGCAATTTTGGAACATAACTCATGGGTAGTTTATATTAGTAATCTTTCCTTTTTTAAATTATTTCTAGAACATAACTAATATTGCATGACAACAGAAAGAGCTCAAGATGATTGAATTATCTGATACTCTATCTAAGCATCCATTTTTTTGTCGTTTGCCAGAATGGACTAGGTTCTGGCAATCATGTTCTCTAGTGATAAGCCTGGATATGTAAGTAGACATCTACTAAGCTGCCGAATGTTCACTATTTTGGATTCATAAAATTATGATCTCATGACTAAAATGGAAGAAGGACAAGTTTTTAGTGGAAAATTGCTTTGTTTTGTTTATTTGCAAACATTTCATGGTCTTGTATCACAAATATTGTATTGTCTAACATGATAGATTTGATCATATCATTTTATCAACCACGAAGCAAAGGAAAGGATACATGACATACTGGTGGTTTTCACTAATTTCTCCTAGGCAATCTTAGAATTATAGGATCCAACACCTAGCTGATTTAGTTGCATGGGATTTGTAATTCAAGTATTTTTATAATATGACATGGAATGTATCTAGTCTAATCTTGTAATTTGTGGAACTTGGTTATTAGCAGTAAAACAGATTCACACATGATGTACTTCTGATATTACTGTAGAGTGCTTCAGTTTGATGTAACATCTTTGCTTAAGAGTTAATCAGAACATTTTCCACTAAATGTTGTCCCATGAACTTATTTTTAATGTTATTTAGGCTTCGTTTGGGATGACTTTCTTACTAATTTCTAAAGCAATTTTTTAGAACGAAAAATTCTAGTTTAAAAAATTTTTGTACTATAAAAGATAGTAAGAAAGCTATCCCAAAGGAAGCCTTAATTGATCAAAATTGTTAACAGCTTTCATATGTTCTTGGACTCGAATACCTCGTCTAAGAATTTCTTTTTGAGCATTTTAATTCCACTACCACATGGAAAGAAAAATATAGTTTAAATTGACAACATTTTGATGGAACTCTGAGTTTAGAACCTAGTAAAATTATTTATTGAATAATGAGCGTTAAAATTTTGAGTTTGCAATTATCCACGCATATGTATCAATAACTAGCTATGGAAATAGTAACTTAATTAAAAATTGAAAAACAAAAAACCTTTCATAAAGTGCAAACTACCTGTAAAGCAACTTTGTGTGCTTGCTTAAAATTGGTGTAATATGACCTAGGATTGTAGGAATATGTTGTACCATAACAATTATATAGCCTCTGAGAATATGGGATAGATATTACGAAAATATTAGATTTGGAGAAGTTAAACCATATCTGCAGCATCCCAAAGGTGTTTAAATTTCAAATGCATCTCTTGACAACTGCTTCTTGCAAATGTCTCTATATTACTCAACCAAAGCACCTTTTTTAAAAAATCTGAATCTACTGTTTCTTACTTCTATTATGTTTCTCACTACTCTGTTTTGCAAATGTCTCTATATGCAGCATCCCAAAGGCGTTTAAATCTGAATCAGCCAAAGTAGACTTTTTTGTTATACTACTGCACATTAATACCAAGAAAACTTGATCACTCCGAGCACGCTTATAGTGGCGGCCTGGGTTAACACTAATCATGGTGGAATTGACATTAAAAGAATCTCTCACGGGATATGTTGCTTAGATTGATTCATTGTGTTAAGGTTGCTGGGAGTTGTATACTTTTTATATATCTTGGATGCAGTAGTTGTTACGATACGGCCCGGAGACTAGAATTAACGAGGCCAGAACGGACGGTTGGACGGTTAATTCATTCATTCAAATTCATGAACTGTTAACAACTAAAATCATTCATAAATTGAAGAGCCACAAACAAATTATAAATTTAACCTTATGTTTAAATCATATTTTTTTCCCTGTTTTCATTCGACCACCTTCTTCTATACACATACTTCTCTTTCGATCATTTTTACTTTTCAGGAGACTTACACTAAAAATTTAGTATTACATTTTAAGTTTACATGGTAAACTCAGTGGATAATCATCATAGCATATATAAAATACACATTACACATTCCTATTCTTTTTCTTTTCTTATACAATTAAATATATATAACATTTTATATGCAGTATATCCTTATAATTAACATTTGTAATTAATTCATTTTTTTCTGTTTTATTCGTTCTTTTCCATTTGACATTTATTTCTTTTTTCTTTCAATTAGTAGAGGCCATCTAAACATACCAATAAAGATACATTAATTTTCTTTTTCATTTTCATTTAACATGCACTGGTACGTTGCATTCCCAGCCAGTACAATAAGGGGGTGAACTACCGTAATTTTCATGCATACACCCTTTTTCTTTTTCATTTATACTTCATTTACATATTATTAATTATTTTATTCATTTCATTTCTTAACATGTATTTTTATCTATATATATATATATATATATATATATATACATTTTTCACATGCCTATATATATTGCATTGTACTTTATTTGTTGCTCCATCATTTTTGGACATAATAAACATTTATGCAGAATAATTTAATAAACAATATATGGTATTTAAAACTGGCATGAGAAATAAAGAATCTAATTGTTGTAAAACTACTGTAATTACCCACTTTAATGATTCTCGTGCTTCAATTCCTTTTAATTAGTTTATCCTTGAGATAAATTTCCTTAATGCAACATAAGATTATGCACACAATTGCATAAAATATTGTTATCTCCAAGTTTTATTAATTTTACATGAATGTTTCCTTAATGTAATCTTACCTCAAATCCTTTCTTGAGATTTCTTCTTGGCTTTAGCACTTCAGCTTCTTGCACTAGGTTAATCTAATCCTCCACTGTTTCAAATAATTTTAAGTTGCATTAATCATTGCTAACTAGTTTTATAAAGTAAGTATTATCACAATAACATTAAATTGATTTGGCGTCTTTAATAATAATTTCAAAGGTGTCGATAATCATCTATATTACTATCAAGCATGAAGTACTTCTTTGCCAAATCATAATTATGATTATAGCATCTACTAGTAATCTAATGTAATTGCAAATTAAATATTATAAAATTAAATTTAATTATCTCAATAAATCAAATCTTTACTTCATCCTTAGTGAAATGAGACTTTCACCCACTAGATTCTTTCTTCTTATTTTACAATCACCTATTATTTTGTCAATTAGAGAAATTCAAAATAAAATTTTGAATATAACATAATAATTTAAATCAATTATTCTTTCCTCCGTTGTCAGAAATAGAAAGTCGTTGTTTTGTCCTTTCCAAAAAAATTTCTTCTTTCCTAATTTTCATTCTCTTTCTCTCATTTCCTTTCTCTACCTGCACTTAAGATAATTGATCCTTTTGTTGGATTATATCACAGAAAAAATTTGCACAAACTAAATGGAATTGGAAAACCTACATTCCTTCTCGTTCTTCCTCTAGGTCTGTTTCTTTCTGCTCCCTTCATTCATTTGGCTTAACTGGACGAAGCAAAATGAAATTGTCTCGTGTGTGGAGTCACTATTTTTCACTCTTGTACGCGTTTCTTCACTTGTTCATGCGATCCGACCCATCCATATGACGCATGCATGTGGCCCGCTCTAGTTGCTGTTCTGCTCGCAATTCCGCTGTTTGCTGCTGTGATAGGCCGGTTCAATTTAACCGGTCAGACCTGTTCTTACAGTAGCTGTTCATTTCTTTTAAATTTTCTCCAATATGTCATGATTTAGACGACTGGGAATTTGAAACGAAGGCATATCAATCAGCAAGAGTTCATTAGTTAAGACTAAAAGGAAGATCCTGTGGGCATTTTACAGTATGCTAGTCAATCATTTTCCTTGTTAATATTGGTTCTCTCAATGACAATGAACATGTTTTGAAGATTTTACAATTTTTCCAACATACGTTATTGTTGAGAATTGCATTGTGCTTATACTTTATGGTATTTCAATTTGAATTTTGTGTTTGTGTTCAAGAACCTTATGATAAGGACTTGAACAGCATGATTTACCTAGTACTTTAATGATATTCGGCATTTGTTCTTCAATAACTTATTGTTTATTTTCAAATAGATCTTCTGGCAGAGCAGAAGTTTCTGTTTCATTTTCTTGTGACTTCCTATTATCCGGCACCACACAAACTGTACATTACACTGCTTCCAAGACCTTGACAGTGGTGCCTGATCCTCCCCTCGCACTTGGCATGCCAATAACATGGGTTCTCCCCCCATCCTATACAACTTCTGATCTTCTGCCAAGTTTGACAGACTCTTATGGGTTAGATGTGCATAGTCACAGGAAAGGAGTCGTTTATTCTGTATTGAGGACATGCGAAAGCAAGCACGACTCTATTTCTATCCATGGTGGTAAAATCAGAACTAGGGACAGCAATGATTTAGCTTGCATACTGGGAAAAGACCTAACTACTCGAAGGACGGAAATTGCATCATGTGTACGAGTTGCCCAGGTTAGTTACTTGCCCATAGTCGCAAATGATTTTGTTCTTTCACCATTGACGTGAAGTATTATTTTGGCAACACAATAAAGGTATATTATCCTTCACATATTTTGGAATTATCTGTTATTCTGCCAGTTCTTCAATCATTAGCTGTTTTTTTAACATCTTGCCTTCTTTTACAGTCATGCATTGAACTTTTATTATTACTTCTTCTTGAGACATGGCGACCTGAACATGACCTGCTTGATAAAAGAATTAAGTAGGTCATACGAGGTTCCAGTTTGTCCACTTGTTTGACCTTCCCATTTGGTTTAGAGATGCTTGGAAATAGAATGGAAGGAAAAGGGAAGATGGGAGGGGGGGGGTACAGACAACATAGAGTTAGCCAAGGAAGTATGTCACGAGCGAGGGAGAGAGGGGAAGGGAGGGAGGGAGGGATGTAAATTTTGAAGATTTGATGACAAGAGAGGTTATTAGAAAATGAGAGATCATATGATTGAATTTTATTCCCCTATTTTATATGAAAAACAAGATGAGATGTAGAAAGATAACTAAGAAATAAATCTAAAAATCAATCTTTAGTTATGAAATTCGTTATTAATTATGAAGCAGAAAAACAGTGCTGTTGTCCACTGATTGATCTCGATGAAAAGTTTCCATCCATGTATTGTTGGATTATTGTAGATGCAAAATAACTGTCCACATATTGATGGATTGTTGTGGATAGAAATCTCCTGTCTACATATTATTAAGTTACTATAGATGGAAATGGGTTGGCCATGGATTCTTGTTTATTTTAGCAATAAATATTGCTAACTTGCACTAAGAAGAAAAGCACATTTATTGCCTTCGTGTTGGCTTGATAAGTTGAGTTTCAATAGTCATTGTGTTACACTAAGAAGTTTATGATGCAAGACATCTAAGGGTCTAGAGTTTTTATCACAGATCTAATGTGTAATGACATATTATATATACTAAGTTAATGAATAGGCAATACTATTTTTAATTTGTTTTTTAGATTTGATGCAAACAATCTAACAAAACAATTGCAAAAAAATCATGAAAATTTCTTGAGGAAGCAAACTATCAAACAAAGATTTTTCTCACTAACAATAAATAGTTAATTTGAGCTAATCAATTTAAATTTGACTCAATTTTCATCTTGATCTAACTCAATTCGACTAGATTAAATCAATTGGTTCAATTAAATTAATTTGCTCGATTTGGTGTTCAATTCTTTAATTTGAGTCATATTGAACTTAATTGAGACAAATCAATCAATTTCTGATCGAACTAACTCAATTTGACTAGTTTGGTTAATTTTTTTTGTTGAATCTGTCTAGATTGAACCCAAGTCGATTCCAATTGGTTCACCCGGTTCAATTTTAACCTAATCCGGGCTTTCAAATACCAGTTTTAAAGTTAAGTTATGACCACCTTATCTCATAAATACTATATAACTTGTGGGATTATGCTAAAAAAGGGGCAAATCATAGATCAATTGATCTTCTGATGAATTTAGGACAATGGAAATAAATAAATTAAAACGTAAAAATTATTCTCATTAATAATTATATGTGTACTAAGTGCACATTAGTAAAAGTTAAAGAAAAAAAGCATAATAAAATATAATATTATATTTTGTGGATGCTTTATTTAGAAAGATTCAATTTCATTATAAAAATGAAAGGAGATACAACAGGAGCTCTTGTGGATGCTTTATATGATATTCATCAAGAATGTATCGAGTAATACATAGTTGATCACCAGTAGAGATACCAACGGCTGGACCGACTTTGAATTCCAACTACGAAGCCAGCATTGCTTTGATCAGTTTCATTTATAGGAAAACTAAAGATTATATATATATATATATATTTCACTTGAGAAAGCAACAAAAGAAAGAAATAATTAACTGGCCAGGCATCATCTTTGCATTAATGCTACCGATGTTGATCCTACCATATGAGCAAGCTTTATGATGGGAATCAATAATGTCACGATCAAATGATTTGTTGGCACCTACTAAGCAGTAGTATGTCCTCTGTTATAAAAGTCACTCTAATGAGCTTAAGAACAAGTATCTAACAAATTGATGATTTAATTACATTAGCTTCAACGTAAGCCACAATTATTTATTTGCATAAAAATAGGATCAACATGACCTCACAGAGTTGAGAAGTAATTGAAAGTAACACAATTATTGAAGAACTACAAATAAAAATATATAAAAACAGTCAAGATATACATGTTGCAAGCGAAAGCAAACAAACACAAAGCACAAATAATTTTACTTGAGAAAAAGCTCTAAGCCATTTGTAGAATTATTCTAAAAAAGATTTATGAGCGTAGCTTCGATGCATAGAAAATAGAATGGTGGAGTGTGAATCATGATAATACTAATAAACAAATAAATTATATATCACCTGAGGACCAGGAAAGCTATCCACTGGTCATAAAGTGGTCACTTGACATCCTTTTGAAGGAAGGCGAACTCCTTAATACATACCTCAAAGTGTGGATAGTAAAAACAATGAAATGTTTTCAAACCATTATTGCATAAGGCAGTTGGTAAATAGGAACTTAAACTACTTTAAAGAAATATTCATGTTACCAAGGCTCTTTAACAATCACATTAAGGTGGCTAAAGATTTTAGCTGCATTATATCTTTTGTTAGTGGGGATTGGTTCTTCTGTTGGGGTGTAACAGTCACACATGATCTGTATGTAAGCAAAATCTAAGAAGCAAACATAAGAAAATGATGATAAAAGACCAAGTTCACCGAGCAATGAAAAAAAGAACAAAAAAAAGGATATGAATTGTTTCAGACCAAATAAAACTACCTTTGAACTGCAAGACTTGAGTGCAAGTCAACACTAATTTATGCTTAAAAGCTTTGATATGAGTTTTTTAAATATGCCAGACAAAGTCTTACTAATTCTTAAGTCTGAAACGTAGGAATTCTGAAATTAATTGCATGGCATCTCTTTCAGAAGTTGGAGAGATGGTGGATGAAATAAAAGAGAAACCAAAGTTTAGGATTTTGATTTTAACCTAATACATGAGAATTTAAATCCTTTTAAGTAATCATAATTAACATAAATGATGAATCACAATCATTTGGTAGTGTTTCCAATGGTTGGAAGGTTAAAGATAATATATTTTCAAGGGTTTCATACTCTAGTTGTTAATAACTACATCTCTGTTTGTTCACCCAGAACTGCTTGTAGTTTGCAGATCTGCAGTACATCAATTTCAACTATTTAAAAAATACTGGAATAGAACATCTTATGACAGAAGAACTATGAAGCATTAGCTCTAAACAAAATAGGATAACCCTTGAAAGTGTTCTGGCTGTAGGAAACATCACATTTTATGAGGTAGAGCCAAACCTTAAGGCAAATAGATGTAGAAGTAAATTACAATCTTATGTGGAGATGAAGCTACCAAGAGTTTTAAAGTGTTGAGCTATGGTTTTATATTAGGGAAATAATACATATTTATAAATATATATATATATACATATTTATAAATATATATATATAATTATGTAATTAATAATAATAACTAAGAAAATAAGGAATAAGCTTAATCGGGAGAATAAGAAACAGAAGATTTTTCAAACCTTGGAGAAGAAGATGCATACAAGTGATTTTACATGTTCTGAGGAGATGGAAGCGATAAAAAGCTGTGGCTGAATAATAAATATTTATAATTAAGTAATTAATAGTAATAATTGAATATAATTTATAAATATCAAGTAAGCTAGGTCTTTTTAAATGTTAAATATTACATTATTATTATTGAACTTATCAAATCATATTAAATAAACAACAAGGCTAAGATTGAATGTGGAAATATTAAAAAGAATGTATGATGAACACAATGATGAATGGTTTACCTAAATAGGATCTAAATTGGCATAAGTAGTAGAAATTTTTTAGTAATCCGCAACAATTAGATAGAATCTTGCACTATCGGAATTTTAAAATCGGATGCTATAAATTATACTTTCAACCTTAAAATAACTCGCTTACATAAGTTGCATAAAAAAGCTTCACAAAACAAATGAAGCATGTAGATCATTTGCATGTTTTTAATGCATTTTGTGTTTCATATTTAGGTGACATATAGACCAAATTTCTTTCGATGATTTGACAAACCTCGCACACTTTATCAAGAATGGTTGTGTGACCAATGACACATAACATTGCTCCATTTCATCTGATGTGAAACGACCAGGAAGTTTTAGGAAATAATAAAATTATTGAAGTTTATTACTTTAAGATTAATGAATCGTAAGAAATAGCTTTAAGAATTATCCCTTGAAATTTTGCTTGGGCATGCAATTGCACTTTTAAGAGAACAGACCACTTTAAAATAAAATCAGAAATTACAATAAAACTAGATGTAATGGTAATAATATTCCGCAAGTTAATATCAAGAGCTTTCACCTCAAGTTTCCCTCTCTCACTCGCGCTCTTTGAGGGGCTTTAGCGGAGGGAAACCTTTAGCAAACTAAGCGATGCCACTAGGATGGTGACGACGCTGATGGTCTTGATCCACAGTGGAGTGGCCGGAGAAGGAAGCACATGTGGATGTCCGATGAGCTGCCACTGGCTGGAAGATCGTTGTTCGTCGATCGTCTCGGCGAGATGGAAGAGTATACGATCTATGTAGTCTTCAACGGAAGCTTCGAATTCCCAGTAGGAATCAAAGAAGGGTGAGTGAAGGATGTTGATTTGCCCTTGAGAGTTGTATGCAAATCAGTTGTCGTTTTCTGGATCGGCCATCCAAGAACATGGGCGTATTCGTGGTTGTGAACCTTGTAGGAGCCGCTGGTGTGTGAGGGGAGAAGGAATGTGTTAGACCGGTCCACTGGACCAGTCCAGCCGGTCCAAGTGGGACCGGCTTACGGGCGAAACAGCGATGCTCTTCCACCTCTGGCGGATGCCGCGCAAGCCGCGATTCTACGGGAGCGTTTTAGGAAGGAATTTTGAAGAAGTTT